ATTCAGGAAGACAGAAGTTTACGATTGACGTTACATTTAATTTTTTGAAGATCGTAGGGGACAGGGAAGCAAGAAACCGAGAAAGAGAGTCACAGGTGCGAGAAGTGTGAGAGAAGAAACTATTAGAATAGAACTTACGGTTACATCTAGATATTTCATCAATAAAACGATGAGATTTAGTTGCCAGTCATGGACAAAAGGTACCAAGGAAGAGAACTAATCAGAACAATTGCCATGAAAATATAAAAAAAAAAAATACAGCCACGTCACCACAGTAGGAAAGTGGCTGAAGTCGGTATGCCAGGACAGGACCATTAACATTACAAACATTTCTTTGTATTTTTCGAGAATATCGAGATATATAGAAGGAGCAGCAGACCAGATAAAGCAGCAATATTCAATGAACTAACGAATAGTAGATTTATAAGTGTGTAAGATGGATTTTGATAAGAAAAATTGTCTTGGACGACATAGGGAACCAACTTTCCTAGCAGTTGACCTAGAAATTAGTTCAATATAATCATTCCACTTCACGTCATTGGAAAACTTTGGACCAAGAAAGTTCAATGATTTGCTCACCTCAGGGATAGCATCAGCCATACAAAAAAAGCAGAAAGTGATTAAAAGTCTATGGCAATTAAAAGACAGCAGTTTCGTTCTTGGAGGCGTTAACATTTACAAGTTATTCTTTGTCCCCAGTTAGCAACTCATTGGACTTTATCAAACCTAGAGGTGGTCCTTGCATTAATGTGAAATCATCTAGAATCGTAGATGTACAACACGGCCTTCATGACACGATTTGTTAAGAACAATTGGATTAAGCCAGATATTGGAACAGAAGCACCATAGCCTTTCAGCCTGTGAGGAAGGCCAGTATGTCAAACTCTGTCAAATGCCCTCGAGATATCTAAAACCAGACCGAGGCTCATCGTTCTTATCTAAAGCCTAAAAGGAACGAAAGCAATATTGTTTATCCGAAAGAAGGCCATGTGAAGTAAGATGCTTAACTATTTGCTATTCAGTAGATCCTCTAGTACTTTGCCAAAAAGAGATAAGGCACTAACAGGGCGATAATTCGGGGGATCAGGGGGTTCAACAGAGTTCTTAAAGACTGTAACTACAGAGGAAGATTTTCAAAACGCTGGAAAGCAAGAGGCAGCAAGCCATTTGTTGTAGGGTTGAAGAAAACAGTAGCTAGTTCAGCATCACATTTTCTTCCGACAATTGCAGGAATATCAAGTCCACAAGCCTTTTTGGGATCTAGTTTTGAGATGATAACAGAAACCATGGCCGGATTTATGTGCATATCTCTCAGTCGAGATTCCATTCTAGGGGGAAGATCAGGTAAAGATACCACTGAGGAGTTGAGTGTGGAGTTGGAAGAGAATTTCCGAGCAAAACATTCTGCTTTCTCAATCCTTCAAACTGGTTGAAGAGAGTAGCGGTTGAAGATTTACTCTTGTTCAACACACTCTGACAGAGCCGCCAGTAATCTCTATAACCGCACTTGTGAGAAACTATAGGGTGTTTCATTCTAGAAAGTTGTTACTGATGCTGTTGTTGGCGTTGCAAAAAAAAATGCAATAGCTGCAAAATCCATTACAAGGATCATTTCGCAAGTCTTTTTCAATAATTTTTTTTTTTTTATGAAGGAGTACTTTGGTCGAAACTTTATAAAGAATTGCTTAAGGTATCTATATCACACCGTCAAGAGCAAGTACGGTTTTTAATTCAGGGTTACTCGACTCCTAAACTAATTTCCAACCACGGTTAGAGAGTCTGTCCTGTTATTTAATCTATAGTTGGAGAGAGAATAGATGAATCCATGCCTTTGCCAATGGTATTTATGCGTAAATGAATGTAAAAACTCGACTGGAATTTAAACTCAGATCTCTACGACTTATCCGTTAAATCAGCCGTACATAATTTTGTTATTATTATTATTATTATTATTATTATTATTATTATTATTATTATTATTATTATTATTATTTTCTTCTATTTCTGGCGTTTACACATTTCTTTCCGGGTCCCGCCCAGGGAACTAAGGTTAGAAATGGCATCATGACACTTTCCACTGACAAAAAAAAAATATTAATATTAATATTATTATTATTATTGTTATTGTTATTCACTCGCACCTGTAGTAAGTGAAGAACTATATTGGAGTCTAAGTGACAGCAAGCCTCCTTAATACTCCAGAAATGTTTTAATATCCAAGCTGTTTTCGGTAACGCTATCGACTGAATGGTTCCAATCTTTCTCTTCATTTCCAGTTCCCTCGGAGTTTTTCCTAGGCTCTGTTCCCAGCGCTCTGTTAACGACTGGCACGATTGTCACCTTCACTTTACACTTTTCCGCATCGTTGTAAGGTCGAGATATTTCTCTGTCAATTAATCATCTTTCATATTTTCTCTGTTCTGCCGGGATTACTAAATCAACTATCTCTGCATATTTTCACCCTATTGTTTACCAAATGAGATTTTAACGATTAGTGAATGGAGGTCGTTTGCAACGCAAAGTCCCTGAGGACCTAGTGTTTCATTGTATTTCACAGATTCTAGACTGTGCATCTTCCATTAGTTTTTGTCAGCAAAATGCAGTAGCACGCACAGACCCCAGGAGACGGCTTTCATCTCCCAGTCGTGCCTGTTTTTGTATCTTTCTTGGACTAATTTGATGAATTCACTATGTAATTAAATCTTTGATTAATGCCTTTTTCAAGTGTTTGGTCGTTGTCTCTGAAGATTGAGTGACAGCAAGTCGCATTCTTCTCACTATACTAGTCGTTTTCACTAATGCCTACCGCCTGGGTGGTCTCGATTCGTAGATGGATGTCCATTGCTGCCAATCTTCCCGCGAAACCTTTTGGTAATAATGCATGCGTAACAGCCACCATGAGCACAGCTATCGCCTTTATGTCCTTACGACTGCCACTCATTTGTGAATTTGTGAAGAGAAAAGGAGGTGTATGGCTGATCATAGAATATATTCGCTCGCAAGTCGAAAACATTGGATTAAATTTCTATTTTTATTCATTAATTTATTTATTTATTTTTCTTTTATATCTAACTAATTTTCTCTTTATTTAAGATTTTACTCTGGGGGTGCTTTTTAGCCTAACGTCTATGTGGTTAATGAAATCGTGGCTACGTCACAATATATATATATATATATATATATATATATATATGGAAGAAGTCTGCTCAATACCGGTAATAAAGTGTTTGTAGATGTAGACAGTGTAGACATATGAATAAACACAGCATGAAGTATCTTAGTATTAAACCATCTGAATCTGTTATATATTAAAGGGTGTTCCAATAACTTGGGCCGATGCTGAAGTTCTGTTTATGCTCTGTTAAAATAAAATCATCGATCCCTCTGTGGATCAGTTTTAATAATTAATATTACTAAGATCCACCCGGATTATATACCAACGGATCGATTACCTGTACTCTATATATATATATATATATATATATATATATATATATATATATATATATATACTAGTCTAGACAAAAAGTTGCTAACCCTTCACTATTCTATCGATATTTTCATGGCAGACGTTCAACATTTCTTGGTTACACCAGTTCAGACCTTCACAGCTAAGACTCACCTTACACTGAATCAGTTCACTATCATTCCCTTCATATTCCATTGGTAACGTGCAAGTCACACTCACGTGGCTTCTTCCCCAGCACTTTTACGTTGTGGAACAGACTACTGAGGTGATGCTTCCCAGATTACTACACTCTTATCCTCTTCTAGTTTAAGAGTGTAGTAAAGTTAAGTCTAATGTCAACCGTTATCATATCCTCATAATATGCAACTATTAGTCTCTCCTTGCACACCCTTAGAAAAAACGCATTTATTAACCCTTCACCGTGAGTGCTTCTTGTACTGAATGAACTATAGTATAAAAACACTACTAGAGTTCCAAATATTTACCATGTTAATTAGTTCAGTTAGTTATGTGCAATGCGGGATACACGCTTAGGCGATCATACATCTTTCGATACATAACTGACGAGGCGGTTTTTCCTGCAGTAGGTTTCGATTTCTTTCTGCGGTAGACCAGTTGTCATCCAAGGCTATAGAACCCGATCTATCCTGATATTTACCCAGAGCTAGGAGGAGAAGAGGATTCATACCTTTCCCAAGAGCATTAACACGTAAGTGAATGTAATGGATTCGACTGGAATTTGAACTCGGCTCTCCGGTTAATGAGTTAGCTGGATTAAATTTAGAAAAATAAATTCCTATTCAACAACACGCTTCTAGTTCCGCATTTCTCATCATTCGATTACATTTCGAATTTGACCACCTTTAAGACTTTTATTCATTCTTATTAACATCTTTTACTGTCTACACAGAATTTGAATATTTTTCCTTTATCTTATCGTTCAAAGTCAATGAACGAAGGCTATACAAGTTATACAATGTACGCACAGAGGAAACACGGTTCATTTTTTTTTTTTTTTTCTTTGTTTTTTTTTCCCCAATAGTTCACCTTTCACTTCAATATAACCTGGTGTTATGCTTAACACCACTATTGACATTTCTCCTCTTCTCTTTCAGGAGTTATTGCAATAGTTAAAGGCAAGAAAAATAAGCTAAAAATCTTACAGTATTGAAAGATCTCTAATCACAATTGTGTTAGTCATGTCGTCTGCTAGCCATTAGACATTGAAGCGCCCTCTCGTAATTATGCCTGTACTAAAATAAAATGTCGGCGATCAGTTATGTACTTCTACGGATACATATATATATATATATATATATATATATATATATATTTTACTTTTAGCAGTTACTTTCATCATAAGCTAACGAATATTGCATAATGTTCGGTAATGGGACAAAAAAAATTTAATTCCCGAAACATAGAAATTTCCATGTCGCAATATAATATATTTTCAAATAAAAATATCGCTAAATATGTGTGTGTATGTGTTGCATGCGTGTGCGTGTGTTGCATGTGTGTAAAAGTAAACATTCAAATAGAAAGAAAGAAAGAAAGAAAGAAAGAAAGAAAGAAAGAAAGAAAGAACTGACATGAATACATACGTAGAACGTTCTGAAACTAATGTCTCCTGTTTATTTTCACGGAAACTATAACACCGTTGGATAGAGCATGCTTTCAATTACAAAACACTATTTTCAGAAATAATCACCAACATTCACTTCTATATTTACATATTCTCCATCTTTGATATTGAGCACTTTATCCCATAAATATAGCACACCTTAAAGCTATATTTCTCCATATATATATATATATATATATATATATATATATATATATATATATATATATATATATATATATATGTTACTATCATTAATAATTGTGTATGAATATTGCTACCATATCTGGTCTGGAGCTTCTGCTATGTATTTAGAGATTCATGGTAAATGCAAAGAAGGATCTGCAATGTTATTCATCCTGACCTTGCATCTTGGTTTCAGTCATTTTTTTCACCGCTGTAACGTAGCTTCCCTGAGCTTTTTCTTCAAGTATTTTAATTGTAATTGTTTAGATGAACTTTCCTCTATGGTACCTTGGATTTATGAATTTAAGCGCAGTACTAGATTGGCGCCAGGGACTCATCATTTTACAATTGAAATTACTAAATGGAACCTTAAGTTCTATGTTAACAATTTCTACTTTGACTCTTCCCGTTTTGGAACGCTCTTCCGGTCCTTGCTTTACAGTCAACTTTGATCTTAAAAAATGTAAGTGGAATGTCTATCTTTATTTTCTGTCTTGTTAATTCCTGTTCTTTTATTATTCTCTCTCCTAAATGATGTTTTTTTTTTCATATTCTCTCACACTCAGTATTCCCTTTCCTTGCATCTTAGAGGCTTTAATGTCTTGAAATGATTTAAAAAGTGTATCATGTTCTTTAACCAAGCAATGATACCGCTTATTGTGATTACTTTGCAATAGGTTCTTTTAGATAACAATAACCGGAGGATAGCATTAAGCAATAAAAATTGAAACAATTTTACATTCATTGTTATAAATGCATTTTTTATGTTATTAAAATCATTGTTATAAAAAATAAATTACTTTATAAAAAATTAATAGAAAATTTATTGACTTGAAATTATATATTTTTTATTGATTTTAAATTGTGTTTGGGACCAGCTGATACTATATACAATAACAATCTCGATTTATTCACATTCTCACAGTGGCGAGGTGAGAGACAAGTTCGTATTTAATATGAGATGCATACATATCGACCAAGGACAAAAATTAGTCCACTAGTCCACTAGTCACGTTGGCGTCGATATTTCCCCGACTTTCCCTCTTTAGTTCAATGAAGGAGGTGCTGCTGTAAAATTTGGAATCCCTCAAAGTTTTACTGTAAACTGCCCTAAGATGGACACACAACAGAGGGGTGAAGATCAGATACGACAAACCGTGAGTGTGCAATAAAAGTACAATAATACAATAAATATTTGATATCATTTACCGGGATTATAATAGTTGTGTTTAAGATTTAAGGTTGACATTTGGCGGGGGGGGGGCGGTCTGATAGAAGTGTACATTAGTCAATGTAGTAAATGAATCGGGTCAAGAAAGACCGAATAGTCTGCATCGAATTTAATATCAATAAGTAACCTTTCTTCTCAAAGGAATTGATCTGTGGGGACTGAGATGATCGAAAGTACTTGAACAAAAATAATTACACAATATGAATTTCGCAGAATTCATCCACAATTTCGAGCAAAATATTAAACACCTTATTCGAAATTTGAAAAGAAACAATTAAAAATTTTCGGTTCTATTTAATGAAATTTGTTTGGATGAATACTTCATGCCTAAATATACCTTATATATATATATATATATATATATATATATATATATATATATATATATATATGATAATATTATTTTTAAAAATATTTTACATCAAGGACGCGGACATTTCGGAACTTAAATCTGTTCCATTTTCAAGGGATGTCGTGTAACTTTTGATGAAAATGATTTAGTTTTGAAAACAGAATGTTATTTCATTCAAAAGTTAAGAAAGAAGGAGGAAGAACATTTCAAAATTATTATGGGTTTGTCTTCTTTGACCAATGAAAATACAGGTCAAATCTAAAGCCAAAAAGTGTAGCAATGTAGGTTAGGGTGTGTGTCTTATTCAGACATGTCTGAATGAAGCGTCGTTTGTAAACATGTTGTAGACGGTGCAAAAATAAATGCTAAAGAACTGTGGATTCTAAACCTGGCTGTTATTTATCTTTATTGGACACACACATGTATATATACACATATATATATATATATATATATATATATATATATATATATATATATATATATATATATACACGCAGATAGATAGATAGATAGATAGATAGATAGATAGATAGATAGATAGATAGATAGATAGATTTCTGTGTTCTTTGTGTTTAAAGTTGTGTTATAAGGGATGACCTTTTTTGTCTTTTTTTCCTTTTGTTTCTCGGAGTGTATGTATGTTAATTTGTTTTGCTTTTTCAATACTATTGTCGACCAAACATTGTGGATATTTTCTCTTGGTGACTATTTTTTCATCTTTTCTAGTCTGTGGTCTCTTGTGGCTGTGTTTGAGACTATTGTACATATCTTCATATTGGCTAAGTTGAGTACAGGTGAGAAGATGCAAAAAGAAGATATTGTCGAGAGTCAGTTGATTTAAAGTATATGTCGGTTTCTAGTTTAGTGTTTGTTTTTGTTATTAATATGTCTAAAAAGGGAAGTTTTTGTTGCTGTACTCCATAGTGAATTGGATGCTAGGATTTATATTATTAATGAATGTTTGGAATGTCTTCAGTGTATCCAGCCATTCCTTCCACAGAATAAAAAAGTCATCTAGATCTCTTTTCCAGTTTTCTTTTATGTTACAAATGAAGTCATTCCCATAGATTTCCGAGGTTCTGTCGTAGATTTTTAGTTCATGGTATCCCATGACTAGCTTGACATATGTTGGTGCAACCTTTGTCTCCATAGCTGTCACTGATTTTTGTCGGTATGGGGTTTCGTTGAACATGAAATAATTGTTTTTTTACGATGAATTCTAGGCATTCTATGATGAAATTTCGTTTGATGCGATTTAGTAGCTCATGGGGAAACGTTTCTAGCCAGTATTTCATGGCCTCTATTCCGTAGTTATGTGGGATGTTGAGATATCACTTCATAACATTCATTGAGACCATATAAGCATTATGGTTTATCTCGTTGGGAAGATGATTCAGAAACTCTAGATCATCTCGAATGAAGCTTCGAACGAGTTTGATAAGAGGTTTCAAAAGGATGTCTAGAAAATTGCTTAGACGGTGTGTCGTGCAAATTGGGCCGTCCTATTATAGGACTTAGTTTTAAGTCGGTTGGTGCAGGTATATTCACACAATCAGTTTTTGTAGTATTGAATGTTTCGATAATGAGCTTACTTTGTGTATTTTAGGTAGTCCATAAAAATTGTTTGTTTTATATCTAAAGTTTGTAAGGTAGGCATGTTCCTTAGAAGTAAGACAGTCTCGCTATAAGTGTATTAAATTGAAGAGTTTTTCATCACTTTGTGAGGTTGGTATTCTCTGGCTCCTTCATAGTAGGTATCGTCCTGTAACATATTGTGCATGATGCTTGTATACTGTTGCGTATCCATAATAACAACTGCGCCTCCTATGTCCGCTTCTTTTATAACAATATTTTTGTACAATTTTAGGTCATTTAGTTGGTTCTATTGTTGTCTGGTGAAGATGGACGTTTGTGGCATTTCCAGTTTGTCAAATGGAAAGTTAGAGATGTAATTACAGAATTCATCAATTTTACCTTTTGGGGGTTGATAATCTTTCTTGAATTTTACTAGCAATTTATTATTGTTTCCTTCTTCAAAGAATTGTTCTACTAGCCTGAGTCTTCTACAGAATTCCGAAACATCATCCTTCATTCCTGCTACATTTGGTTTTTGAGGTGTTGGTGCGAATTTTAATCCTTTACATAGGATGTCTATTTGTGTGGGTCTTAATGATTTTTAAGGTTGATTACTTTTTTTTTTTGTTATATATATATATATATATATATATATATATATATATATATATATATATATATATATATATATATATATTTAATGTCTTGAGATACAAGTTTAATTTGTTCCAAGACCGAGCTCGTAACTCAAAAACTCATATCTCAAATCAATTTTCCCCATTGAAATTAATGGGAATATTTCCAATCCTTTCCATGCCCCTAAAAATTCACCACAGCTCTTTACACTTATTTTCTTCGGGTCCATGGTGTCACTAAAGGAATTTTGCAAAATAACGGCGAAAAAAGACACAACACAGCACAACAGAGATTCTTACAGAGCAGAGGTGAACTCGTGTACTGCGAATGCTTAACTAAAACTCGTTCGTATCTCAAAATTCATCTCGTATCTCAAGGCAAAAAATCGGCCAAACTCCGGCTCGTATCTCAAAAAGCTCGTATGTTGATACGCTCGTATCTCAAGGTATTATTCTCTCTCTCTCTCTCTCTCTCTCTCTCTCTCTCTCTCTCTCCATATATATATATATATATATATATATATATATATAACCCTTTCTTTCCTATTCATTTCTTGCCTCGGTAATTCTTTTCATTCACTTCTTTTTCTTGACGTTTTCGCTTCATCAATTAAAACTATCTACAACCAACCACTTTCTCCATTCCTGTGTGAAATGGAAGGTCGTTGTTTCTCTTTAATTAATAAGTTGGTAAACGTATGACGGGGTCGTTTACGTATGGAAAAGCGACAAATAATTCGATGAGAAGCGTAACTGTTTGTTCAGCTAAATGATTCACGCCATCTTGATGGGGTTTAAATGATTTAATTTCCTTCTCAGTTCCCATCACCAACACTTTTGTGCGCTTGGCTCAGTTATTAATGATTCGCTATTTTCATCGCATTCATCGTCTGCCTCATCTAAACAAGTGGCATAAATAAATCCTTTTCTGGAATGCACATTTTCTACACAAACATTTGAACGTCTCTCGTAATGCTGAGAGCCTACCGCGATCTGCATTGTCGGCCTTCAACTAACGTTGCCACTATGGAAATCTCTCTCTCTCTCTCTATATATATATATATATATATATATATATATATTCAGTTTTATGTATATTAGTTTGTGACCCTGAGTTTCACGCTTTTATGATAATCAGACAAGTATATATATATATATATATATATATATATATATATATATATAAAGAAAAGAACAGTAAGATATATAATCTGGTGTTCTTTTATTTTTTACAAAATAGTGCTCAAATAGTGACATTAGTTCCATAATGTCTTTTAATTTAATTACAAAATTAAATTCGAAGCTTTTAGCTTCCATTTTGAAACATGGTTAGAACTGTGTAGCGGAAAAACCATATTTTAAATCAATTAATATATATATATATATATATATATATATATATATATATATATATATGTATATTTTGGCAGCAACCTTTTTTCAAACATCTTTCATTGAAGACGGCCGACAAGGAAGATTAAATAATTTTTTATTAAGTTTTTCCAGCATCCTAACATTTTTCCGTTTTGTAAGAGTTAAGGAATATAAAAATTGTCAATAAATTTTATTGTCCCAAACGATTTCGGCCGAATCTATTCTCTAATTTTTTTTCTTTTAGAACTCAAATAACACAACATTATTAAAAAAAAACAAAAAAAAACTCTATAACTTATACAATGGAAAGATTGCACTACCCAATGGTAAATGTTACTTCCTAAATTTGTTTAATCAGGAACTCACTGAAGAACAAATAGAAATTTTGAATATCGACCCGAATTGCCACCTCCAACCTACATACGAACCCATTCAAAAGAAAAGCAAAATCGAAATATTCTACTTATCACTCCAATAGCTAACAACAGAAAAAAGTAAGCTTCACCCAAATCAGAGAGATCTTCTAAAAGCCGAAGGTTTGAAAAACCGTTCTTCACACAGAAAGCACAATAATGTTCTCACAAACTCAAATCAACTGCAAAAGAGTTACGCAACAACTCTAATATCAGTAATTATATTGTTCTCAACCGACAAGATTATAACAAAAATTACAATCTATCCTCGATGACACAACAAAATTCACTATATTAAGGAAAATCCCACAGATTCATTAAAAAGGTACGTAAATAAATAAACTTATCTCGGCAAACAACCTTGAGGTTGATAGCTTAAAAATCAAAAAAAATTGTTGATGATTACCAACCAGGATATAAGTATGGTAATGTAAAAACTGATAAATCAGGTTTTCCTCCTCGACTTATCATATCACAAATGCCTACACCTATATATCAACTATCAAAAACACCTTCTATCACATAATTTCTCCATACACACCCAATTACAGAATTGCATCAACAACTCAATTTCTCCATATCTTAATAGCAACAAATCCCATCGGTAATATTCTAGCTTCGTTTGATGTTGAAAATCTTTTTACCAACATCCCAGTTGAAGAAACAAAATAAATCAACATAATTATTGACTGCGTTTACAAACATCCTTCAGTTCCTCCCCGTAAAATTCGACCAGCAACTCTTCGGAAACTACTCCTTGCCTGTACCACAAAAGCTCCATTTTATGATCATAATGGCAATACCTACATCCAAACTAATGGTGTCAGTATGAGAAACCCTTTAGGTCCTGCTTTCTCTAACATTTACCTGTCTTATATTGAAAACAAATTGTTTAATGCAGCTGATAAACCAGAAAACTACTCAAAGTATGTTGATGACATTTTTGTTTTGATCCCCAAAAAAAATAAGGACGAAATTATAAATCTAAAATCAACTTTTGAAAAACCTCAAGGCTAACATTTACATATGATTTCATGATTAATAATAAAATCCCATTTCGTGATGTTGATATAGAACTAAAATCAAAAGAATCTACCATTTATCCATATAAAAAAAACACACACCATTACGAACACTTTTCTTCTAAACTATGTTAGCCAATGCCCGGAAAGATATAAAATAGTAGTGATAACAAACTTCTTGAATAGAGTACACCAAAATTCCTCATCTCAAAGAATATTTCCGAGCGAACTAATACTCATAAAACAGACAGTCAACAAGGATTTTCACAACTACGCCATTGATAAACAAATAAAATTATTCTTACAAAAAAATACCCGACACCAGTAATAAAAATACAACACAAAAAAACATCAACATATTTTACTGTAACCAGATGCACAATTCGCTATACGAAGAATTATTAAACACAATATTTCTAATGTAATTTCCGAAAAAAAAACATGTAAAATATATAATATATTACAGGAAATGGAAGACCACAAACCTTGTGGTCACTAATCAAAACAACCTCAATAAATCAAAACTAGCGATGACCAATATAGTT